AAAAACGATATGGGGAGTGAAAATGCTGTGTTTGTTTTTGACAATGAAGCTGTGTCTTTCAAAAGAATAATAAATATCTTCCCCAGTGTATTATGTTTTGTGCGCATGGTGTGACGCTACTGTATAGGTTAGTCATTTTGCAAAACCATGGAAGATGCTATACATGAGAGAGGGAGTGAACTAGGCAGACACTGTGTTTCACTAGTTGTTTAGTGCAGAAGGCTATAAAAAAAGATACTGTGGTAGTGTTGAGGTGAAAGGTAACTATTCAGATTGTTCCTGACCCTCTGCCTGCATAACCAAGCTTCTCTGTATCCACTGGCTGAGAACCATACAGAAATATTGGGATTGGCCAAGGGGAAGAGCTGTTGCTTCTGTTGGTGGGTGGTGAGGCTATGCTGGTATAAGTATGCCAACATAGGCTCTGTTGGTTCAAGAAACATTGCTACTAGGGTCACAATTCAGCTGTGTATGATAATTTATACAAAGATTTCCTATTGTTTTACTTTATTTCCTGCTTTTTCTTGTTTTCTACAGTCAATGTAATATGAGTGGCTGATTTAATGGAATGAATGATTTACAATGGTGAGGCTGCATCTGTAATGTGACCTGTGCAATATGCTATTGTTTGGCCCAAAAGATACAATGAGAAATTTAGTCATATTCCTGTGTGAAATAACTTAAAGAATGCCACAACTTTTACTATGATGAGGACTGAGAAATCCAACAAATACTTGTCAGAGCAAGTCCAGAGTGATTCCCTGGCAAAGTGGCATGAAGGGCAAACCTAATCCTTGAATAGAGGCTAACCTATTCTCTTCTTGTTAAATCTATCTAGGATCAATGACTGGGCAGACAATGGATCCTTCTCCTCCTTTCCTCATGCAAGATGTGATAATTGAGATGAGAGGTACTATGTTCTGGAGCACACATAGAAACCCACTCACCGTCCAGCAATACAAAGCAGGGTCCCCAGTCAGTTGGCCAGTAATCACAACTCTGGCCCTACTGCTGCCACACTGGATTCCTGGAAAAACTTGCAACAATAAAACAGAATCCTCAAATATAAGCCAACCCCTTCATGTGCTCTGAAGAAGGTGAAAAGTAGAACTGGTCAGGAATTTTTCATTATTGGGTAAGGGAGGGAGGTGTGAGGGATGAGGCTTGGGGGGAGAGAGAGAGAGACAGACAGAAGACAAACAGACAGACAGACACACAAAGTCTGTCTCTCTCTCTCTATCTACCTCCCTCTACCCTTATCCTAGAATAATCCTTTTCTTCGTGGTTTGGGCACTTGCCTAGAATATGGAAAAGACAGGTTCAAGTCTCTGCCCTACTTTGAGCTGGAGTGGATTTTTTTAATCCCCCAAATAGTTTTGAAAGGTCTGTTTTATCTCAATGAGGATTGGGGGAAAAAATTGAAATCTAAAAGATGTTCATGAAATGGGAAAATCATTTCCCACTCAGCTCTAGTGAAACTACATCGTGCCAGTTTTGCAATGAGGAAAAGTCTGTCTTAGCTCTGAAAAGGGAAACAGCAGAGCCCAGAACATGAAGTACAGAAGACTTTTAGGACTCATCTGCATGGGAAGAAAACTTGACATATCTTGCGTGGAAGAGCTGCTGTGTTTTAAAATCACACACTAGCTATTTTGCACCAATGTCTTTGTGAATTATATATCTACACAAGCCCTAACTTGCATGGAAGGAAGGGAGGGTTAGTGGGTGACTAAAGTGGGAGCTGACTGGACATTCTATATATGGTTGGAAACTTTAAATGATACCCTCCATCCCCTAATGGGCAGGGAACTTGGCCAATTGAAACTCTTGTGGCATTGGTTGATCTACTTGTGGAAGAGGCAAAGCAAACCTGGCCCAAGCCAAAACCCCACCTATGCCACAGAAGGTTCTGGGGGCAGTGAAGGGGGCAACACTCACTCCAATTTCAGCCAGGACCCTTGGGGTGCCCTTTTCCTACTAATCTTATCAAACCACCTCGGCACACACTCCTCTCTCCCCCAGGCAAGTGTCGGATTGCAGGGCTGCATTCACTCTCTGTGAACTCAGATTCAGAATTGCTGATATATTTTACTCTGTTTCCCTCAGCCTGATGTATGTGGTGGTTATTCATACACATGGGCCCAGGCTAGTTTTATAAAGATAAACAATTATTTGCTTCTGAACCCTCAACCTTTTATATGTCACAACAAAAATACTCTACATATTACTGCATCCCATGGCTGATATTTCAGCCAGATCTTAATAAGAAGCCTCATTTTTTATTCTTCTTTTCATTGCATAGCTCCACTGAACCCATCAAACATTACATTATAACAAGTTCCCACCATTCTGCCTCCTCTTGACAGTGCTGTCAGATTCATATTGAATGCTAAAGAAATCTTTAATAACTGGACACAATTTTCCTTACCAATTCAGAAATATGAATGCCCTCATAACCTACTGCAAATGCTTCCCATGAGCACTCAAGAGCAACGGGTATGACAGGGTTTTGATGGGTGGAGTGTACTTTTGCATCTGTTATCTTTATAGAAATTCAAAAGCCTTTTTGTCACAACTGCCATGATATCATTATTCTTGGGCCTTTAATGGTTCAGTGAAGAGCTACTACATGCTGCTTAAATGGGCAGAGTGAGGGGTTGCTCACTACGATTTTTAGATCATTTACCCTTTCAATGCTTGTCTGGCATACACACTCCTGTTCTATTGCTTTCACTGCAAGATCTATAATGTATTTATTTTATTTTATTTTATTTATTTACGAGATAATGCCAACACATTCTGCTGACAAATATGAAGAAGAAGCCTTGCCCCAAAATGTTTATTAGCTGAATAGGTTATTTGATATATCAATAAGCTGAAATCAATAGGATCAGGAGTCAGACTGATCCATTACATGTCAGTACAATGTATACACATTTCTTTGTTAGCTTCAGTCTACTCTTGCATGCAGCTTCATGCTTGCATGACCCAAACCAAGTACTATGGCAGTGAGAAAACTGTGGCAGTTTGGGATTATCTTTACAAGATAGTATCCTTTGTGTGTGTCTGTATGTGTGTGTGCATGTGGTTCATGTGAAAACAAGACAAGGGCTTACCTTGTCTGATCCAATGCATGATCATTAAAATAAAGCTTCTTGAAGAAGGCTGGCACTGGATGTCTACTAAATCTTCAGAATAAATGATTATTATGATATTTCAGTGTTGCAATATTTTTTGTTGAAGAGGCACTGTTTTAATTGAAGTTACAGATGAGCAATACAAAAAAAAATCCTCTATCTACTTTAAAACTTATGTATGCAACTGAAGGAAAAACATGACACAATAATAAAATATATTTCAGAAATTCTTGAACAATCACAACATTGTAGAGGTCCAAGATATCAGATGGGTGATCTCATTAAGGAAGGAAGTTCATAAGAGAAGTAACCTTAGTTCAGTTGTTTCTTTAAGTAAATTTAATTAATTGAAGCTCAATCTCCAAATATTTATTGTACAAGTCCATTTTTAAATTAGTAATTTCCCATTGAAAATACCTTTTCTATGTTCATTGTAAAGCCTCAAATCCTTTATTAGGCTCTATTAATGTGGTCCCATGTGTCCATCCAGAGTCCCATATATTTGGGATTTCTCTCATGCACAGGCATAATTGTTAATAGATTCTGATGGGGCCTTAGAACTTTACAGAAAAAATGAGCCTTTGTGCTGGAAGAGTTCAAAAATTAATTATTCAGAGAAAAGGATAGTATTTGTGAAAGTTTGGATATCTTTAATAGAATATTTGCTAGAATTTGTTTTAGAAATAGGAAAGTTATAAATATTGGAATATTGTGCGGTACACTACATTAAGAAGCACACTCACAAATGTGGAGTAAAAGATACCATCATAACACCAGCATGTGTTGCATCTCACAAGTGAAATGTAGGTGCATTTTGTCAATGATTAGATATTTACAGGTTCAGGATAGTCTGTTCTAGCCTATGATTGTTTGAAGTATGCACATAAGGAATTTGCATGCCTTGAACGGGGGTAAATAAAACAAAAATAGCAGCACCATGTGCAAAGAACTATAGGTCTTCATTAAAAAAACGGTTGTGTTCAAATTCCAAGCAGACTGCACTTGCAAACAAACATGTTCCACCTTTGCAGAATTCGTTTCACTTAATTCTACCCCAAACTAATTGAATTTCCAGTTTATCAACACAAAAGTTAAAAAAAATTGTTAGTCAGCCCCGTCCCCCAAAAATGAGGTTAGCTTAAAGATCATGAGAAGAAAAAAAAATATGTTGGGAGTTCTTTTTAATTTCTGTTTTATTGAACGTTTAGCATTCATATTTTCAAATTTTCAACCACAAGAGCTAGTGTGACAAAGTGCTAGGAGCCTATTTAGAGTTGATCCAGCATTCTGGTCATTAAGTGTATGTCTACACAGCAATTAAGCATATGTGTCTGGCCCTGGTCAGCCGACTCAGGCTTGCAGGGCTCTGGCTACAGGGCTGTAAAATTGTGGTGTAGATGTTCAGGCTTACACTGGAGCCCAGGCTCTGGGACCCCATGAGTCAGTTGACATAGGCCAGCCACAGGTGTTTAATTGATGTATAGACATACCCGAAGGTGCTAGCTATTCCCTCCTCGAGTGGACTTAAGTCGGAGATGGGTGCTCAATGGCTTAATTAGGCAGGTGGCTGATAAGCTAATGAGAATAATCAACCCATTAGCTGGGAACAGTTAAAGGAGAGAAAGGAGGTACAAAAGAAGGAAGCTAGGAGGGGTTAGGGGACACAGGCTCTTAGGATGAAGGGAGCTTTTCCTCCCCTTCCCCAGAGAATGGGCTAAGAGGGACATTTATGTTTATTTGTATGTTGCTGCACAAGGCTATACTGCTTAACTGGTAAAGGGGACCTAATAAATAAATTGGTGTTTATAAACCCGGAATGCATCTAGCCTATTGGTGGAGGCCCAAAGGGTATAGAAGATAGCCCTAAGCTAGGCAGAAACACAGACATATATGTGTGTATAGAGAGAGAGAGAGAGAGAGAATTCTAGGAGCTGTAAGAAAATCAACAAATATGGGGAGATTCACAATAACATCATGAAAACTGGCAACACTTATGCTGGTATAAATCCATAGTAAAGGCTGAAGTCAACAGTGTTACTCTATATTCACACTGACATAACTAGAAATGGAATGGAACCTGCATATACCCCACTGTTGTCCAGGGCTATGGGTCATTCAACCATACCTTAGGCTTGGAAATTGTTATGCCTATGTGATAGGGTGTATAAAGCCTGGTGAACAAGGGGTTAATAGGAGCCTGAGAGCTCATTTAGTCTCTTCCTTGTACCTGGAAGGGTATCAGGCTTAATTCCTTATCAGAACCAGCTGGGGAGGAGCTGTGCTGGTTTCATGAGGGAAAGTGTGGTGACTAAACAGGGAGGAGGGAGACTCAGGATGTGGTGTGGTAAAGTCTTAGGGAGATGAGATCTAGGAGAAAGGGGGACTAGAGTTCCTTGTCTCTAAGAAAAGAACTACAGGAAGCCCCAGGAAGATATTTAGCCCTATAGTGGGCCTTGAAATAGGGGCAAGGCTCCACGGAGGCAGTACTTGAAATAGAGAACTGGGGGCAAAATCAGGGGGATTACAGGATCAATCTTGGGATGGACAGAAATGGTTTAAGATGTATTTGATTTTGTTAGGAGTTGGAGTCCTGCTGGGGAGAAGCTTATGAACCTACTACTCTGAATGAAGAGTAGGATTGAAAGGCAACGCAGGAGAGATGGAATATGTATTATTGATGGCCAGTATTGTTTTGGACACTATTTATTTGAGACATTGATTCCCTGGAATGGGTGAGACTGTATGTGACCTGAATGGATGGGAGAGTCACTAAAAGTATTGCTGGCAGAGGAGATTACTGGGGGAAGGCCCTGCAATTCTCTGTTTAGCCATGAGGGAATGTGCCAAATGGTGAGTTACTCTGCTACAGTCTATTTCTGGTTTTAAACTAAGGGTAACCAATTTAAATTACTTGCATTCACGAGATACTTCTGCTTTTGACACAGTAAATCCATCAGTATTATAATAATGGTCTAACACTTTGCTCATATTCTTTAAGCACAGATGGCCCAATTCTTTTGTCCGGTGTAAATTTGGAATAACATTACTGATATCAGTGGAGTCATTTCAGATTCTCACTGATGTGAGAGAGAACAATGTGCCCATGAGTCATTAAACGAAAACCATGGAGAGATGGGTGCACCTTAAGTATGGCCTATTATAATGAACTAATTTTTCATATCTTTAACAGTTTTGTTACAGTAAGACTTACAACAGACTGAGGTATGTTTCCCACAGCAGCCATAACTTCTGAATTTCTTGACATTTATGTATTTAAATTCTTAACCATTATATTACCTTAATGTAGTTGCACAATATGAAGTTGATTTAAAGGTATTTGCACATAGTATAATATATACTCAAAGTGTAAAAATCATAAGCAATAACAAGATGTAAATTGGAAAAAATATTCTGCACATTCTTGGCATATATACTAGCTTTCTGTATAGATTCCTGATAGTACATCTTGCTTTTGTAACTAATATCAAAATGATCCTTAAACTTAAAAGTGATTATTCATGACTTTCAAAGGTGTAAATGGGATATGAGTCAGGCACTTAAAATATACCATTATAAATCTTAAAATTAATCTTGTCTTTCCTATACTATCTTTTGAAAATATTCCTCACAAATCCAACCATAAAATGATTACACCTAGTAGTGTCCAAAATCAGAAATGATAGATAATGACGTGATCAAGTTTGTAAGTATATTAGAAAAAAACTCATACTTGTTAATATGGAGAAAGTTGTCAGATAATGGTGCACTCTGAAATTTCCACAAATAATTGCATTTGAGCAATTTACATTACCCCATTAGACACAAGTGGATTTGAAGGCAACCTACATTAGATATTTCAGGAATCACAAATCTGAAATTGTACCTAAATCTATTTTTAACAAACTACACAATATCTATCTCTAAAAAGAAAGTAAAGAAAACCTTACCACTTCTTACTCGTATCGCACCTCTGTATAAAAACATTAACTCCTACCTCAAAAAATCAAAATCAAACCTACATTCTAAAACATCCCAATGTGCTCTAGGGGATAAAGAACTAGACTACTATCTAGGAGGCCGGGATTCTGCTACTGATATTTTGTGTGGTCGTAGGCAGGACCGGCTCTAGGCACCAGCAAAGCAAGCACATGCTTGGGGCGGCACAATTCCAGGGGCAGCATTCCTGGCATTCTTTTTTTTTTTGCTTAGGCAGTTGCACTCTCGGAGCTTGGGGCGGCAAAAAACCTAAAGCTGGCCCTGGTCATAGGCAAGTCATTTCACTTCTTTGAGCCTCTCATGCTTTGCCTCTATTAGATTGTAAAATCTTCAGGGCAGGAACTGTCTCTTCTATGTCAGTGCAGTGCCTAGCACTATGGGCCCTGGTTTTAGTTGGGTATCTAGGTGCTACTGTGATACAAATAATCTCTAATTCAATAGATGCTCAATCAAAAACCACTCTGAAGAAAATAATGCACTTCCAGATACTCTGAATAATTCACTTGCTGACATGGGACATAAATCTGACTACTATTGCCTTTATAACCAGGAAGTCTCCGTATTTTTACAAATTCACTTAGTAAAGGTCTAGAAAAAGGTCTCCTGCATGGGGAATTATCATGAGTTCATTCAAAAGACTCATTCCACATGCAATGTAGTAATCTTATGAGAATCTGGTTATATTCCTGGTCTTTGCTTCCTCAGAGCAGCTATCCCCAAATCAACCCTGTTGTCCACAGGGTCAGCACTATGGAGGCTGCCTTTAGGTAGGGTTACCAGATAGCAACGGTGAAAAAACATGACGGAGTGGAGAGTAATAGGCGCCTATGTAAGAAAAAATCCCCCAAAATGGGACTGTTCCTGTAAAAACGGGATGGATGGTCAACCTACCCTTAGGATAGGGTGACCAGATGTCCCGATTTTATAGGGACAGTCCCGATTTTGGGGTCTTTTTCTTATATAGGCTCCTATTACCACCCACCCCCATCCCAATTTTTCACACTTGCTGTCTGGACACCCTACTTTAGGATTACTCTATTACTGACTGAGGGGAACCAGTCTTCTAGAGGCCCCAAACCCACTCTTCCATAACCATTTAGGAAGTCTTTATATTCTATATAGGTTCTTTAAATATATCTTCTATATAGGTCCTCATCACCACAGTATCTGAGTGTTTTCCAGTAACTCCTTAAGTGACATGACTAAGATCTCTTATGTGGTTCATTCTCTTCTTTATCCTCTCCCCCAGGAGAGGACTATGTGTGTAGTGTTCTATTTTGTTGGATTTTGTTTTTTTAAATGTACTTAAATATTAGTGAAGGCTGAAGTGTTGAAGAAGTGTGCCTTGCAAGTGGAGCAGAAAGTGGTGAGGTTTGTGACAGTCCTCAGTTCCCATGGGAGTTAATTACACAGTTTCCGACTGTGCCCTGAGAAAGTCTGGTCTGTTGCACAGATGAGCTTTACCCTTATGACTGAGAGTTCCATTGTGCCAGAGCAGTGGAGTTGTCCATTATGGCCATCATTCTGGACTCAGTATGCCTTCCAATGCTTATCACAGCTCACTTGCTGGCAGAAAAAAGCTGTG